ACTTCAGAGGAGAAAATACACTCCAGCAAAATGTGTATTTAATCATATCCATCTTTTAAAATGTTTACAATGCATGATTTGATAACAGATTTTATAATAAGTGTTACAATGTAGCTTGAAATCACTTTCGATCCAAGGGCAGGTCACTCCACTTGCAGACCCCCCCCCCCCCCCCCGAATAACACTCTTTAGTATGCAGTGTAGAGATGATTCTTCTACAAGTTAAACCAGAAGTCTCTGTCGAGACTGAAGCTCAACTGGATTTTACTTAGCAAAGGAAGGAAGTAGAAGTTGGAAATTGAAACTTTACAACAGCAATAAATAGAATAATGATCCTTGATTAAATCTCTTTATATTCTTAGTGTAGTCTACTTGCATGCCACATTATATTATAATCAGACTAAAACTGTATTTGGGATAGCATTTTAATAGTATTTTACAGAGAGAAATTTCTATCTTTAGTAAACAAGGCAATAATGTTCATCAAAATCATAAATGATAAATAGAATTATGTTTCTTAGTGTAGACTACTTCTGTGGAAAATTATATTGAAATCAGAGCAAAACTGTAGGAGGCGTAGTATTTTGAAAGTATTTCACAGAAATTTCTATGTTTAGTAACCATGGCAACATCGTTCATAAAAATCAAAAACCAATATATAGAATTGTGTATCCCATTGGTCTACTTGTGTGCCAAGTTATATTGAAATCAGACCAGAACTGTTGGAGGAGTAGCATTTTGAAACAATTTCACAGAAACTTCTATTTTTAGTAACCACGGCAACACCGTTCATCGAAATCAAAAGCCGATATACAGAATAATGTATCGTAGTGTAGTCTACTTGTGTGTAAAGTTATATTGAAATCAGACCAAAACTGTAGGAGGAGTAGCATTTTGAAAAATTGTTTACAGACGGACGGACGCCGGACGCATTACTGTCGCATAAGCTCTTCTGGTCTCTGACCAGAGAGCTAATAAAATCAAGATTTTAATTACACAAGGTTCACAAAATATAAAGTTGGGATATGTTTTAAACCCACAAAAGTATTTATGCTCAAAAGGTTTATCATCCTTCATGCAGATAAATTGATTGATTTAGTCAGGCAAGCTTTTTAAAAAGCTGTTACTTGTGAATTTTAAATTTGACTAATTCGATGTCTTCAGAAGTCGCCATTTAAACTTCCGGTAATAGTAATTTTAAAATTTGATCGATTAAATGGTTTATTTCTGGATTATTTTCAATACTGTAAAAATACCGGTATTTCGGTTCCCGTATCGCGATACGTATCGCATGACAAAAAATCGCAATATACCGGTTTACCGATAAAATCGCACATCCCTCTAAACTGTCAAATAGATCCCTGTTAAATCCAAATATACATAATCAATTAACACACTAAATAATCTAAGATTAACAATAAGAACAAGGGCACCGCTGAGCGGAGCATCCCCTCGCGTAATGGCAATATCTCACAAGAGATAAATTCTCTCGAGGGACGTTAAACATGTTAAAGATTGATAGTACACTGTATTTTGTTTAATGTCCCTCTCAGGAATTTTTTGCTCATATGAAGGCTTGCCGGTGGAGAGCTGCACATTCTTTCCTATAATAGGAACTGACGACCATTGAGCAGTGAGGGATCTTTTTGTGCCAGCATCTGTTGGGACATGGGCCCTTGGTTACATGGATTTATTCGAAGGACCAGTCTCCACGTCCCACAATATTAGGATCAATTGTTGGTGGGTGTTTTGTTGTTGATACATTTTTTACAAAATGCAAAGTGGTTAAGGAGGGGGTGGGGGCATAACATAGATACCTAATTTGGGGTAGTAAAGTTTAATATAAGATATTTAATTGTTTTTCAGTACTATTTATTTTTTAAACAAAATTATTGGGGTTGGGGGATGTCTATTCTTAACAAAATTGCTTAGCATTTTATTGGGGATGGGGGGGGGGGGGCATAATATGCATACGTAATTGGGCAGTTTCCCTTATACCTAGCAGAAACATATCACGCATGCTATATGTATTGTTTCAGTAATTAGCCGGGCTTATTGCTCAAAGAGCAATTGCCGGCTTATGTGATCCTGTTCAAGGCAGGATGTTAACCCAATAGTCGCCATTTTAAAGTTACGTGCAAAAATATAGTTCTTACTCTCAACCGCTTTTGAGATAATACAAACGCTAAATAAAGCAACAAAAATAAAACGAAGTTTTATCTATATAAAATAAACATTTGTAGTAATGACTTTGAAAACTTCATAAGTCAAAGAACATAGTTCATTAGCGTAATGATTTTTGATAATTAGTCAGCCCCCGGGCTGACTAGTTACGTTAGGATGAAACTTGCGTTAATCGGAATTCTGGGAAAAAGATTTGCACAATTTTCTCCAACCAGAGGGCGTGCTTCTTCATGCACACTCACGACCTCGATCTATTTATAGACTGCATTGTTCTTCGTCGTTCTCGACGGAAATTAATGACATAGACTGTTCAGCTTCTATATTGCATATTTGTCAGTTTTTAAATGATACTATGAAAATATTTCATTGCTTCTAATAGAAGATAAGTACATTTATTCCCTAAATCGCCATTGCAAGCCGAAGATTTTTAAAAATTGTGTATTCCTCTGGATGCCTGATGCAAGACTCCCTCGATCAATATACAATACCTTGCATAAGACATGTACGGGTCGGAATTCACACAACAATCCACTTGCCACAAAGGTCCCAAAATAGTAAAAAAAAAAAACAGAAAGAAAGATCAATTTCTTTTCACTCTAATGATGGAAGTTATGAAAACATCAGAAGACCACTGTAAGACATTAAATTCTTATAATTTACATGATGATAGACGTGTAAGTGCCGCTTGTGCACGTGAATCGCGCCCACATGTGAGAAATTGAACACAGTAGAAATGCGATAGCTGAGAGAACTGTTTTGCACAGGCGCTTGACGTTTTTAACCTTTCTCTTTATAAATAAAAAAATTCCCTACTATAATATTATAGTAGGGAATTTTTTTATTTATAAAGAGAAAGGTTAAAAACGTCAAGCGCCTGTGCTGTTTTGCTATTATGGTAGACATCATCAAAGACATTTTGTGTACATGTATACGTACTGCATGTATAAACATATTTTGCATTTCCATTTTAAATTGTTTTCCGTGGCGTTCATTACTTTTTTGGAAGCAATTCTTTTCATTCCTAATGGATGCTCAAACTTAGAAATGGAATTAAATATACATGCAGTATACCCCCTTCCCCCCCCCCCTCCACATCATGCATTGCCTCGAAATGCTCATATGAAAACTGTTATTTAATAATATTTAAAAACAATCTAACACAAAGTCTACCTTAATCCTTTTATTCATCATAATCTATATCATTTTTATAAAATTTAACGTGATCTTATAGTTGCCATGGTGGCTTTTGTTCATTTACCGGTATAAGATGAAGTTTCTCTAATGTCTGCGCCGAAAAAAATTTATTGGAGATCATTGTAATGATCACGATGCAGAATTAAAAAATATTCTATGCTTTATCATTTATTATGTACAGCATTATGTTACAAATAAGAAAACGATTACAAGAATTTAACTTTTCTTACAATGGCATTTATTACATTTAAGGAACACAACATGATGGATAGATCAAATCATAAACCATTTCAAAACAAGACAGAAACTTTCTGTATTCCAGTGGCTGACTCAGCTTTTTTTAAAAAGCTAACCTAGTCAGTGTTACCGTAGTTCTCTACACATACGAGGTAAAGCAGGAGAGGGAACCAGACTGGCCTGTTTGTTTACATTCAGCTGCGGTACCAGATTAATTATGATTCTGACAAAATCGGACCGTGGTATTAGGATTGAAAAACTCACTGTCAGTGTCTTATCATTTATATTGATAGTTTTAAAATATTTTTTTCATCAGAATATAAACGTGATTCATGTAAGAAATCCATTCTACTCTGTAAATGAGCCCGGCTTTCTGTACTTCTGAGTACTTTGATTTTAATTTTTTACTTGCATAAGTAGATATCTCAAAGTTCCAAGCAATATGCATTTTTTTTTCGTAATGAATAATATAATGTACATCGAGAGGTTAATTGAACTTGTGAATTGTATTTTCAGCTTTCAGGAATAACGTGCACCCCAAATTCACAGACACCTATTGGAATTTGGTAATGAAACCGCGACGTTCATCAAATTCTTTTAATCATGCTCCCGCAGACTCGACACGTCTTTTAAGCTTTCAAACTTAAATTGGTTCCCTTGCAGAAATGATTATTGTCAACTCGTACATAAAATGTCAGGGTTTCAAGACAGTGAAACGCGACATCTGAAGAAGTATTTCAACAATGAACTTCAAAATGAATAGGCTTCATCTTTTTAAATTGTCACACAAGTATGTAAACGCTGAGAGTGGTTAATGCAAAGGTTCTATGTCAATCTTGCTCACAAATGATTATTGTCAACTCGTATATAAAATTTCAGGGTTTAGGCAGTAAAAACGCGATATCAGAAGAAATATTTCATCAATGAACTTGAAAATGAATAGACTTCGTCCTTTTATACTGCCACACAGGAATATAAACGATGAGAATGGTTAATGCAAAGGTTTTCTGACAATCTTGCCCACAAAATGTAACGAACACACACACACACACACACTCACACACACACCCTCACACACACACATTCGCGATGCTATATCCCCTCCGCAACTAGTTGCGCGAGGGGATAATAAACATACAATTTACATTCTACGATAATTAATGACCTATCATTTAAACCGATCACATTCCATTTCCTGAATCTCTTAATTGGTCCATAGTTTTGGAAGGGGCTGGTCTCCTGTAATTCCTGTCTGGCGATCTTAATCTTCTAGGTGCCTCATCTCGCTGTTAATTCCTGTCTGGCGATCTTAATCTTCTAGGTGCCTCATCTCGCTGTTAATTCCTGCCTGGCGATCTTAATCTTCTAGGTGCCTCATCTCGCTGTTAATTCCTGTCTGGCGATCTTAATCTTCTAGGTGCCTCATCTCGCTGTAAATTCCTGTCTGGCGATCTTAATCTTCTGGGTGCCTCATCTCGCTGTAAATTCCTACCTCGCGATCTTAATCTTCTAGGTGCCTCATCTCGCTGTAAATTCCTGTCTGGCGATCTTAATCTTCTGGGTGCCTCATCTCGCTGTAAATTCCTGTCTGGCGATCTTAATCTTCTAGGTGCCTCATCTCGCTGTAAATTCCTGTCTGGCGATCTTAATCTTCTAGGTGCCTCATCTCGCTGTAAATTCCTGTCTGGCGTTCTTAATCTTCTAGTTGCCTCATCTCGCTGAGATTGGTTATCCCTAAGACTCCTCAAAATATCAGTCTGCACCTGTAGTTCGTGGTGAATGTTTCTCATGGAGTTTTGTAGATGGAACATGTGGTTCAACATGTGGTCCGACACTTCTGCTTCATACTTGGATATTTTACATGAAAAAGACACGAATGGTAATCTAACAACCAAGCTATATGATAAACGTGATGACTTAACTTTTTTATCGTCTAATGAACCTATTTTTAATATTTTTGTAAATATGAATTAAAGTGTTTACATCATATTTCCGTTCCCAAATAAATTTTTCCAACCCATTTACTATTTATAGTAATAAGATACTATCCTGACATGGACCCATGTGTAGAGATATACGAAACATCTTCACAAACAACTGAAACCAAAATTAATTAGTGTGCTGTAAAACTAACGAGATAATTAAGTGCGCCCAGACCTAACAAAAACATGAAATAATTAAACGATGAATTTAAGGTAGGATTCTTCTCTGGTTTCTGACTAGATGAAACATTCAAAGCATATTTGCTTTTATTTCTTACATATTGAGGTGTAAGGAATTTAAAAGACCATATTTTTCTTTCCTCATCACAATTGTGCAACTTTAAATAGAAATGGTAAAGTGCGTTTGAAAACTAGCAGGGACTATATTTTTGGCGGAATGGTGGCGTATGAAAATATCTTCTTTTCTGTCTCTCAAAATTATAATGGAACAATGAATTTAGTTATAATATTTACAATCGAAGACTTGGAGAAATTTTCAAATGTAATTTAGATTAATAATGAGGGACTAAATTTTCAAAATATAGCAAATAGATATGATTTTTCAAATAAACTAGAACTTTATTAGCTTTTAAACGCTTCCTATCAAAGTGCAGATTTGAGCCAAAAATCCATAAAAAGTATTTTTTCTCTCTTAGTAAACGATCAAAATTTTTTGTTTTTGTATCATTTTGTACATTTATAAGACTACTTTATTATATGTGAAAATAAGAAAAAGTTAAATATAGGAAGCATATGAAAATAACTAATATATCCTAAAAATTAAGAAAAACAGAGAAAATTCGGATTAGCCAATATCCAGTTAAGTTAAATTATTTATGTAAATTTGGTAATATCATGCTATAGACCCGATATAGTAATATGTTTTTATGCAAAAAGAACAATCATTAAACTTTTGAAAAAGAAGTAGGTATCACATGATTGGCAACAGCTATTTTTTATTCTTGATGTCAAGGGAAAAGATAATGACCTTGACCTGACCTTGCCTCTAATATAAAACGGTTAAATCTAATTCCACTGATACTGTCACTTACTGATATTGTCTTCTTGATTCTGTGAAAATTTCATTCATTTTTAAATATTAGAAATATGAGAAAAATCCTACCTTAAGTCATTCTTAAAACTCAGGTTTATGACTAGAAATCATCATTTTTAAAAATAATGATTTTTAGTCTCACCCCTGACTGGTAAACATGGATCAATGAATTTTCAATTGATGCAGAATTTAATATGTTACATGTTAATATAATTTTTTTCATCATTAAGGTTGATGTGTTTTCAAATGATTCTTGCTGCTTTGAACACCCTTTGGAGGATGGGGTATGTAATTTTATATTTGTGTCCCTCCCCCTTCCAAAATAAATTCTATTTACATGTACTAGAATTTATACTTTTACTCATTTAGTGTTTAATTTTTTCTTTCAGGTAGACCTGACTGATGAAATGTCTGATTTAAATCAGGTTTGTATGCCATTGTAACACATAATATGTATTTAAGTTATTGAAAACAAGAACAATAATTGCTGTTTTTCTTATGCCTCACCATAAATATGAGACTGACTAGTCTGGCCAGAAGGGGGTCAACTGGCATGTGTCTGTCTGTATTCACAAGTCAGAGAATAATGAGTTAAAGGTTAGTTTTTCTTATCAGTGAGTAGATTAAAAAGAAAATTATTTTATGTCATAGTTAATACCTTTGTCATTATAAAAGGGTATAAAAATAAAGTTGCAAAACAACAATTAAAATTGATTGTGTAAAATTTTCAGCACAGGACCTTTGCTCATTGCCTTGAGGCTACCAAACAGGACTGGAATGCTGTGTCTCTTCTCCTGGAACACACCCTTTTGACCATTAAAAGTCAATTGCCCCAGATCACCGAATCTGTTTCGGTGAATGTTTCTGCGCAGTGACAATGCAGGCTGCTCCCATTGTAGCAACCGTTGGCTCTCCATCCCATTCATCAGCCAAAGAACAGGTGTGTAAAAAGGTGATTTACAGATAACATGTATTCGTTACATGCAAACTGTTACAGTAAAATAAAAGTATCATCTTTAGAATGTCTTTAATAGCTTTGACTTTTGGTAGGAATTTCCATAAGAAGATATGACTTCAGTGAGGCACAGAGTGGGAAGTCCTATTGCGATGCCAAGATCGCACATATGAGGGCCAAGATCAGGAAGACTGTAATAGAGGGAAATGATGTGCTGTGTGCTGCGGACATGAAATCTGCAATTGATAGGTATGGTGGTGTGACTGGATGCCAAGCAGCTCACATTGAGATCAACAGATTCTTCAACAGGGCTTATTAAAGGGATATAAAAGATTTCAAATGTTGAATTTTAAGATGATGGATGTATGAAAGTTTGGAGAGCCTATGCGATGGAGAAGGGAAAGATATGGCTATTCAAGGAGAGCTTAAAAATCAAGAGAGGTTTGTAAAATTAGTTTAATGTATGCAGTTTGATGTAAATGTAGTAGTATTTGTAAATAGTTTCTTTGATGGGAATTTTGGGCAGATTCAAGGTTCACACTTCATGTAAATGTTATATTGATGTAATCTCACAGAATTTCATCCGAGGCAATTTTTTTTTTATTATTGTTAGGGCCCTGCTCTGTGGGAGCCCTTCAGTGATCAGTCTGTCCATCCGTCCGTCTGTCCTTTCCAGATCTCTTGTCCATGGCATATCTTCTCTCTATTTGGCCAAATCTGGCCCATACTTCACCTACAGAGTGCCTTGATATAAAGGGTGTGCAGTGACTCTGAACCATGTTTCTAGGTCAAACGAAAAGATCATACCAAGTGCCAATGGTCAATAGAAATGCCTTTTCTTAAATGCAAACTCACTGGTAATACAGATCTGAAATATGAAATCAGGACAGGGTAAACCATTTTCATCAGTTTGGAAATCAGAACAGGGTAAAACATTTTCATCCGTTTGAAAATCTTGGTATCCCATGAAGGGTCTTTGCACAAGGATACATTTATAGCGTATGTGATCACTAGCCCTTAGCGTTCAAAAGTTATACATGTAGCCAAGGTTAAAGTTTTTCACATGAACGAAAATCTCCTTGGTCAAGGTCAAAAGGTTAAGGTAATTATTATCATATGAAAGGTCTTGCCACAAGGAATACGTTTGTAAAGTATATACCAGTAAGCCCAAGTCCTAAACGTTCAGAAGTTATGGACAAGTTTAAAATTTAATAAGTTGGTCAAACTTCAAGGTCATAGGGTCAAAGGTCTTGCTACCAAATGAAGGTCTTGTCACAAGCATTAAATATGTAAAGTGTGAAAGCACTAGCCTTAACCATTCAAAAGTTCTAGTCAATGTTTGCTTTTTTAAAGTAGTCAAATGTCAAGGTCAAAGGGTCAAAGTTCTGGAAATCCAATGAATAGTGTTATCACAAGGATTACATATGTGAAGTATGAAAGCCCTAACCCTTACCGTTCAAAAGTTATGGCCAAGGTTAAAGTTTTTTTCAAAAGTATGGAAATCTCAAAGGTCAAAAGGTCAAGGTTGTTGGTATCCAATGAAAGGTCTTTTAACAAAAAATACATATGTGAAGTATAACTGTCCTGGTATCTACTGTTCAAAAGATTTGGCCAAAGTAAAAGTTTGAATTTATTTGTTAAAGTGGTTCAAACTCCAAGGTCAAGATCAAGAGGTCAAATTTGCTGGTACCCAAAGAAAGGTCTTGTCACAAAGAATACACATGTGAAATATGAAAGTCATAGCTCCACTGAATCAAAAGTTGTGGGAAAGGTTAAAGTTTTTGCAGACAATCAGAGAGAGAGACAGCTAGATAGACGGACCGACACGACAAAAACTATATACCCCTGAAACTTCGTTTATGGGGGCATAAAAATTTCTAACCTACCTACCGACCCAATATTTTTACCCTCAGTCTGGAGAGGGCAAGTGAATCCTATTTTAGAGATGGCTCAATAAAGAATTTTATGGTTATAACATTTCATTAAAATCTCATTTTAGTGTTACTGTACTGTACAAACTGAAACCTATCCATGTTGCTAGGGAGGAGTTGTTACCATGGAGACATAAATAAACCAGTTGATGTGAATTACTTGACAAGTTAAAAACATGTAAATGTGGTGTTATTATTTTTGCATAGTGTATAGGTTCATTTTTGCATTATATTCTCTTTATGGTTCAATTGTACAACCCAAATTTCCATTGTTGCTAGGGAAAATTGGTTGCCATGGTGAAATGACTGAACATGAATTGAAGTCTTTTTTGAGAAATTCATATCAGTAGAAAATTAATTGATGGTCTATTTATATTATATACTCATTGCAGTACTACTAATTATAAAACTTAAAATTTTGTATGTGTTGCTATGGAAACTTGGTTGCTATGGTGAAATGGACAAGCTTTATATGTTTATCAGATTTAGATGATCAATAGATTATCATATAACATGATTATGCGTATCTATTTTAGGAAGATGATGCATTTTATTGTATACATTGCACATGTTTTTGTCTAAATATGTTAGAAATGTGCCTGAAAGAGTTGCCTAGCAACCATTATTGTGTATGTTTCCGACTCTTGATTTTTGTTTTGAGTACAACTCGTAATCATTCTTTATAATATATGCAACAGAAATTGCAGCGTTTCCGATAATTATATTTATATGCCTTTGAAATACCATAAAATTGTTAAATTTACAGAAAATGAATAAACATTGAAACAATACCCCTTCGAATATGCTCTACAAACACCATAAAGCAGTATTTTAAAAGTATTGTATATACTTTTATCTTTAAATAACCTTTGTCCTTTCTTAATAAACTGTTGCTATGTTC